GCTTTGTGACGTCCCAAGGCTTGGATCTCCTTACGCATTTCCGCCTCAGAAGGTGGGGCTGTTGAGAGAGATCGTGAGACGTGTCCCAGAATGGCTGTGTGAGAAGCTGACGCTGGTGGCCAGCTAAATTGTCTTTTGAAGTGCTCCGTCCAACGTGTAAGGCGTCGCTGTTGATTATGAATGGGTGAGCCGTCAGCTTCACAGATCGTTTCACTCACATACAAGGCGCTCATACTAGTGACCCGTATTGAATGAAACAACTTACGGGAGTTTCCTATGGCGATAGCACGATCCACCTCTGATTCGCGTTGAGTCCACCAGATCTCGCGGTCTCTGCCTAGGCTTGCGTTAAGTTCACGTCCCGTTACGGGTCTTGTTTCATAATGCTCGCTGCCGGTCGTGAGTGACTGACTTGCGTCAAGAAGGCACAGAGACTCAGCGGATATCCAGGGTGTCACGACACGACACGTCAGACCACAGCTAACTGAGGCAGCAGAATGCAGAACATTCTTGGTAAGCTTCTAATTTCAGTGGTTCGTTCGATATTGTGCTGGGATCGTGAAATTCCGGTTAACTGGTCACAATACCATTAGTGCCAACCAGATTTTCGTATTGGGTTTCAACGAACTTAAATATCTGTGTGCTGAATGCTCACTTCAGCAATGTTTTTATTGATTATTCTTCCGACTATTTCTGCTCTGATACTCTACACACTTCTTTGTTTTCCGCCCACACAGCAGATGTTCCCGTGCCGACTCATCTTAGAAAAATGGTCGAGGAGATGAACCTTCTGAAAATTCAGGCGATGCAAGATGAACATGCATTTCAAGTCAGCCAACGAGAACGACTAGGCGATCTGATTTCTAAACTCTGGCCTTGTGAAATGCCAACTGTCGCGCATGTCACGACTGTGAATTCCGTTTCTTTTGTTCCCACTCAGTGGCTTGTTCGCTGGTTTGATCACCCAGATCAATTACCACCGGTGTTGTGTCCCTCCCGTGCACCCGCTAACGGTCACCCCACTTCCTCCTCGACCGTGACCAAATCTCAGAAACCGGACCCGAGCTATACTTCACAGATCACATCTGATCCCGACCCCTCAGATGTTCGCGCTTCATCCAAACTGGCGCCATCATTCTTTTATCCCGTTTGTTCACACAAACACATTCCCATTGATCTAGACCCTCATCTTTTCCGAGCTGTATCAACATTGGGTCTGAAAAACCTTCTTGAAAACTCATCCTCATGGAAAGATTTTGCGTAAGTTGACTCTGAAGGATTGTATAAATATTTTTTTACCCTTCTATTCGATAATATTTCATACCTAAAGAAAAACCATACCTAGTGAATTCGATGTGTTTCCCATCATTTAAAAAGTTCCTCCTCTGATTCAAAGTTCATCGACCCCAGGGCACATGGTTTAACTTGTTGTCATACTATTTCCCTCAGACAGTTGGATTGTTGCATAAACCCATTTTCGTATTCACACTATGCAACGCATCTGGACCTGTAGGACTAATATGCACGTGTATGTGCGATAAGCATTTACGCATCGAAGGATGGTAATAGTCAAGCTGTTTGAGTCGCTGTCATTGAGATACGTTAAACCCTTAGATCCGAAGTTTGAACCACATGGATGAATTGTCCGCACGCACACAGAAGACTCGGTTGGTATTTGCCAACGTGAGACATCTTTGGCATCGTCACTACATCCGGCTGTCTGTGAAGGGTTGAGTATATGTATGCTGCAGCAGTTCGGCCAGTGCTGCTATACGGTGCAGAGACTCAGCCATGACGATTGTCGGTGTTTGAACATCGCTGTCTGCGTCTCGTTTTACGAGTCTGATGGGGAAACCAGATGATGAATGCTGAGGTTAGGTGTGGAGTTTTAGGTTATTGCGGTCGTCCACTGGAGCAAGTAGTCGACCACCATAGATCACGGTGAGTGAGACGTGTTGCGCACGTCACCAAATAGTTTGCCTCAGTGATTGGTATTTTCGGTGCAGACAGCGAATAAAAAAAAGATCAAGGCGGTCAAACTAAAACATGGTGTGAGGGTGTGGAAATCCTAGCCGGGGCACTGGGTCACATAGGTCCCGTTAGGCTCCCTGGCTGGGGACCCTGAGATCGTGTTCACCGTTGGTCAGATACACTGAGGGTCGCAAACAGTGGCGTTCGTGCATGTACCCAATATTCTTGTAACCTCATTCTAAATGAATTCTCTATCTTCTTTTTGATTGTGCTGTCAACATTCCAATCTTCATTCGCTCTTTTATCCGAATGGGCGGCCAAAAAACAACTGCCCGACTGAATAGTTGGGTGGTTTGAACTATCAACAGTTCTATCGTTTTGCATGTAGTGGCGTCGAACCACGTGATTTATGTGGTTGAGGCTTTTCGACTCATTTACTTATTTCACAGTCGCCGATCCAAGAGGATTAAGAGTCGCATTCTGGCCAAAACGGCCGCGATCGGAACCCGCCTACATAAGACCCCCCCTCCCCTATATACTCCCCAAAATGATTCATAAGAACGCTCGATCTTCCATTGTAAACACACGACATAATCACCCCTCCCGCCCGCATATGGTTAATGATGACTACGGGAACAAGTAGACAAATACATACAGACTGTGACAGTGGTGGTAGGCAGCTCTGCTGTCGTCCGGTTCAATACCACACCCAACCTATCGGGGCCTTATGTGGTTTACCATTCCAAGTCCCGGGGCTTAGGTTCCCGGTTTCCATCACTGAACAGCAGGTCCTCGTGATTATGGGGTTCCACCCCGTCTGCTATTCATCACACGAAAGTGTGTAATAAAAAAAAAGAAACAGGCTATTTATCTTCTAGTTTAAAGTGGCACTGTGGCCCAGTGATGAATACAAGACGATGTTTTACCACGAAAAGTGCTTTTCCACAGCTGTACTCAGTTTACTTGTCATTACTTAGGCAGTTGTGTCTCCCTTAAAAGTTGGTGATATGTAAACTGGTTTCTTCTCAACGGTAGTGATCTTATTTGGCAACCGGTGACGCCTCAAAATGTTTCGCACGAAACGTTCTGGGTATCTGTTATGAAATAAAACCTCTCGGATAAACCTCAGTTCTATCTCAATGGTTTCGTCTGTCTGTGCGCTCTAGTCACTAGTCACTTATTCAGGTTTCTTTTACGTTCCAGTGACACAGCTTTTGAAATGGATCTACTGATTATTCCACTATGACTTCTTGTGGATGGTACACTGGTTGGCTTCGTTTAATCGACGACGTAGTATAACTTCCAGAACCACGATCTGCTCATTCTGTTCATTCTGTAAAGTAAACTTTATGTTTGAATGTACTGAGTTAAGTGCTTTTCAGAGTTTTGACAGATTCACGGCCGTCGACAAAGCAAGAAAAGGTCAGCATACTGCTTATCAAATATGTCTAAAATTCCTTCACGATCTATCTTATTTTTATTCACATAGACTTCTGCGCGGATGTAGATATCCACATTTCAGACGAACATGACACATCATTTCATCAGTGTTTATGAAAGCTCATGTAACACTCATTCTTTTGGTTCCTCCAAAATGTCCCTTGCTATGCTCTTCGATTTTTGTGTTAGCTTACACGACATAACTGGGTAACTGGGCCGTTTTAATCAGAAACTGTTCGATAAGATACGAATTTTCATCGAATGAGAAACGTATACAGTGGAGTTAGTTGTATGCAACCATTTTTTTAATTTTTATTTTACTTCCTTTTACAAAGATACAATTTTCAGCAATGGGGAAGCGACCAATCAAAAGGCTGCTAATCAACACACAATGGACAAAGTCAGGCGGTGGTGGTGGGATTCGAACACACCCACGGGGTGATAATTTGGTGACGTTACCACCATCGGAGCTTACAGATAAAATGTCGAATTCCGGTGGCCACGTGTCACCATAAGTAAATTGATACGTAATCACATTATTTAGAGAACGAACAATAGAATTGTTTACGCACCAGTCTCACCGGTTTTTTACTTTTGTATATTACCTATCAATGCGATTTCCGCGTAGGACTATCACATTTTCTTGCAGTGTTTCGTGTATGATCAAAAGCGTTATTTACCGATTCCCGATTGTTTCGAGCCGTCTGCCTTTGGAACCCTGATTCTTGTCACTAAGCTGCATCAACCGAGTCGTGTGATCTCTGAGGTAGTCTGATTCCCGGTTTTCGTGCATCGTCAATTGTACCATTCTGCTCGCTCTTCCCCTCTCC